CTTTGTCTTTTTTTTCTTTTATGCTCCCGTTCCACGTCTATGGCGTTGAGGCCAAATACATGGATTCCAGAAATTGTTGCACGAGTATTAGGACTTTTTTTCTATATAAATTTTTTTTTTATATAAAAAATTTCATTTTATTTTAATTTTATCTAGTTATTTGCACAAAAACTGCACAAAACTATACAGACTTTTAGATAATCATTAGCAACTGCGGTTGGAGATTTCTTTGAATTTAATACATATTGTTGAGAATTTTCTTCAAATCTTATTATAAAAACTGGTCCATCTTGTTCATATTCTATTTTACATTCCACCGTATGGTGTGACTTGTTCCTTCCCCAACTGGTCCGAACTAGATAACTATCCAGAGCTTTATATTGAGTTTTGTTATAAGAAAACGCTGAAGTATACCATACTTTATTTTTGGGTGGATAAAATCCTTCATTAATAATGTGATACTTATAATTTGTATTATTTTGTTTAAGTGAAAATGGATTATTTTCAGGGTATTTGCTTTGATCGAGAGACATTATCGTGTCTGAGAAGATGAGATCCACAAAAAAACAACACAATACTGATTATTTATTAAAGTAATACAAGTTACATGATTTTTTAATTCAACTGGTTATCAACCTGCATTAATAACTGTTAACGTTCGTACGTACCATACGGATAACAGATAAGTTTTTCGGATACCTCAAAATTACTGAAAATTTGATGGCATTTTCTTAAACCTGATAATTCTTTAAAGCTGTTCATAACACTAAAAAGATCAACAGTATATAAATAATCTCTTGAAGAGAAATATTTGAAAAATTTAAATTAAAAAAAATCCTACATCGAATAACCAATCAGAATTGATTAACACTAGCCGTAGATAATCATCCAACTTTTCATTTTTAGTAAGATCATGATAACTTTAAATACCGGTATGCTTACCTGATTTAAGGGTGTGGGTGATTTATAATAAGGGCGACAATACCTTACTTTGATATATCAATATGCAAATTTGGTCTCATATGTCTCTAATAAGAGGCGATAAGAAAAGGTATTGCATGATTTCAATTTAGAAGTCATTTTCGACAAAGAACAGACGATATTGAACAATCGTTTGTGGAGGAATTTTTATTTACTTTACAGACTTATGAAAGAACCAAATACAGACCCCATTCTTTTCACAATTAAAGCAAAAGAATGGTTCAACTTATTTCTCACATAATATCAGGTCAGGCAATACCAAATATAATGCTTTTTTTTTAAAAAAAAAAAAGTCTAAAAGATGTTAATCTGTACAACTATCTCTTCGGAAATCCTTTATCATTAGAATTTATGATTCAGGTATCTGAACTAAGATTATAAATATCATTTCTTTTATATTCAGATTTATCTAATTTTAATTCTTATGGCAATGTTATTATTTATTCCTTATTTCTCTGAAATTTTAAATAAGGTTCCCCATTTATTGACATACGCCCAAGTGGACTTAAAGTGAATTATATAGGTAAGACGAAAGTGAGAATTCGTAATTTAAAGAATAATAGCTTTTTAAAGATCCATAAAAAATTGTAGAGCTACTATAGTTCGAGCAAATTATCCAATCCCTTTACAGTTTGGAATATTTTACTTTAAATTAAAAAGAAAAATCGGTAATCCTAATATTATTTCATCTTATAAACATAACCTTCGTCCTTGTACTTCTGTAATCATCTAATTCTGTTCCTTAATAGAATGATTGAGGTCAGACATTATACAAAGCGAAGTGATAAAAAAAGAAACAGATGATTCGGCTTACATAATATGCCCATACCTGGTAATAGCATTTTCTTATATCATCTGTCATATTCATTAGAACAGGAATAAGGAAATAAAGAAATGTATTTGAGTTAGTCTACTGTTCTCATGTGGTTGATTAACATCGCTAGAATGTGATAGAGCTTATTGTTAATACCCGTTGTTCTCTGTTAGAGTTAATGCTGTGAAAAAAAAAAAAGAACACGAGTAGCAATAACATAGAGAAGTAGGTATAGTAGTTGAAATCTTGTGGTTTTGAAGTGGAAAAATTAATTTTTTTTTTTTCTAGGATCAATTTCAAAAGCTGTTGGTTAGTAAGTAATATTCATTTATTCATGTAACAAAATATACGTGATCTTTACTAAGAAAATCAAGATCAAATTATATGATTCACTATCTAGGATTTTGATTTTTTAGCAGAGATCCATATATTTTTACCTTTCATGTGTTTAACCCTAAACAAGAATATTAACACACTGGGTAAGAGCAGGTTTATTTTACTATTGCAAGCGAATCCATAATTGATTACAATGCATATTTATTTCTTTATATCTAAGAGTGCCAATTATTTTAAACGAATGAACACGAAGAATTTAATGGTTCAGATATTGCCACATTCAGAAGCACATTTAATCGGTATACATGTTTGTTTACGTATTTGACATTTTTAATAGTGGAAATGGAGAGAAATCCAGATAAACGGATCCTTTTCAACTTGGAAATTTCACTTGGACTTGATAATGCGTAATATAATGCGTTATTATTTATTATATTGTTTAAATGAAAATTTATCCATTCATTATAAAAATTTTGCTGATATAGGAATTCCCAGTGGGACGGCAGTTGAAAAGAATGAAAATAGAGCATTTATTCGTTTTCAAGAATCTGCTGAGACGAGTTATGTTCTAGCGAGTATAGATGATCATTATCATAAGAATAGACTCGAAGTTTAAAATGGTAAATAAAGCATTTTATTTATTTTCAAAAATTTCCTAAGATCTATCAATAGAGCACTTGGAGTCTTGTTATTATGAAATGTAAGTGATGCTAAAAAAAAAAATTTGCATTGTTTTTTAATTGGGAATTTTGCTTAGGAATTATAGGAAGAATTTCGATCGAATTGTGCCTAATTTCAAGAGCACCTGAATTACACTCAATTCGGTACATACATACGTACTGTTTTTTAAAACTAGGCATCAGAACCTGATAAGTGTTCGAAGCGTTACTTTTTCATTTTTATTGATGTTTTTTTCTTTCTGTTTTGATTCAGAAATTTGGGTGCTTTCAATATACATTACATGGTTTGGAGTAGAAGTAGTGTGTTTTTCGCTGCACTTCGAACAAATCACGTGAACTTTGTATTCGACCATATTCAAGTTTGAATTAAAAAGAATTTTTTTTGAGGTTCGGTTGTCCCTGGATGAAAGAAAATTCCGGTGTGATTTAAATCGATGAAGTGCTATCAGATTATTCTGATTATCCAGCTCTATTTATTAATCGGTTTTAAAATGTTCTATTATATGAACCAGGTCAAACCGTTAACATCCTTAAGGAAATTTAATTTTGGTGTATAACATTGGCATGAAATTTAAAGATCCTTTTAATTTTAAAAATAAATGACCCCGGTTTATAGATATAAACAACAATTATATTTTAAAATCGTTGGGATCGTATGATGCGACTGACCTTTTTAAACCTCACCTTTTAGTCTACATTGTCTTTACAATCAAAGGTACAATAAGTGCATTATTTGGTTCAATTATTTGAATCTGCAAACGATTCTTCATATTTATCCCTCATATAATAAATTACTCCAATATCTTAACGTACATGTGTTATTTGGTTCAATTTTTATTGATTTATTTAATTATATAAGCGATTTTTTAGAAATTAGGCCCGTTGAGAAAACCCCTACCCAGGTATGATTAAATTACTCGGGTTATCTGGGTAAATTATGTATTTCGGAACTTTCTAATAGACATAAAGTCGGTCAACAAAGCATCATATGTACTACAGTAAAAGGTTCTATATGAAAAAAAGCGATAGGTACACTAGCATATATAAAAAACAGTATCGTGCCAAGCTATGAAGATATTAAAACTTTTCTGGTACGTATGTACAGCAGCAAAAAAAAACCTACTAAATCAACTAGCAGACTTACCTATCAAAATTACACATATAATTGGATGCCAACTGATTGACGCACCCTATTGTGTAACTAAATTTTTGGAGAGCGTCAATGATCTGCATGTATTTCAAAAATCAGAGCATATGTGTAATAAGTTCTTAAGTTCTTAATTAATAAAAATGACAGCGTATAAGCAATTTACTAAAAAAAAAAAAAAAAAAATTATTAATAATATGGGATATATTTTATATATACAATTTCTGGAATCCATGTATTTGGCCTCAACGCCATAGACGTGGAACGGGAGCATAAAAGAAAAAAAAGACAAAG